ATTTGTATGCCATTTGAACATTGCGTAGGATTTTTTAGCCGAATTCTCGCGAAACGTGTTTCACATATCTGAATAATGGTGCAAAAAAAAAACTTTCACCGAAGAAAACTTCAGTGTTCAACTTTGCTCCCGATTAAACCCACAAGTAAGCAGCCACATTAATGAAGTGATTCTAGAAGAGCGATAAATACAACAAAGCCCTATCAACCTTATCAATTTGTTTCACATGAATGCAGAAATTCATGACGACGAGATGATAGAATGACGCCCCGCTTACCTGACCCCACCAGGCACGCAGGTTTGCCTTCCGCTTCGAGTCTTCGTGATGGGGTTAGAGCAGCCAGCCCATCAGAAACAGCTCTCGCGACCGCAATTATTGGTGCCTGGTATTGGGAAAGCATCGTGCTAAGCCGCTCGCAATAACCTACTCGGCTAGACGTTCTGCCCGGCCCTTCTTACGTAGCCTGGAATTGAAGAATCCGATGGCAGCGTGCGACTAAAACACTCGAGTGAGACGAGCTCTCCGGCCACTTGTCAATAACTGCCAGATTGACGCCAACGCAATATAGTCAGTAAACCGATAGAAAACAACCCTAGTCGTGGCTAAAATTCTAGTTAAGGTAATTGCTCGAAGTAACTATAATTACAAGTTAAAGTGAAGATAATCAATGCACAAAATGACAGATGATAAAATCTCAATCGATTCTGCATCGAATCCCAAATTCACATATAGGAATCGCATCATTGCCTGAACAAAAGAGTACTAGCTATCAAATTCAAGTTTGATTTTCCACATATAAACCTATCCTCGTAAAATAGTAATTTAGCGGTTACGTTCATAACCGCTGTTGGCAGCTGTTTGTGCACTCCAGCACAGTGTATTGCTTAAAACAAATTAGGTTTGAGGAGAAGGGAAAACGAGATGCAAGGGCGTGATGGGATAAAGGCTAAAATGGAGGTAGTCACTTGAGACGCAATATGACCTCTCACTGCCGCGACAAAAAGAAAACATGAACGATGAAGCGATTACGGAAGACAAAGAATTCGTACGAGGATGAAACCTTAAACATTCAGACCGACTTTGAAGGCGCTAAGCTCTCAAGAAAGAACTTAGTAGATCGTTAAAACGTCAAATTATACTTCACACAAGTGACATCACTGGACTAATATTTTCAAAGCGTTGGAAATTTGCTTCAGAAGTAAATTTACTAAACAAGTAAGACACTTTAAAAGTAATTACCTAAAATAACCTGATAAATGATGAGATCAATTTTTGCCATTGCACACCAGCGAAGAAATTTCTATTTCATAATGTTCTTTCTTTTTGGATCGTTCCATTCATTAAGCGGAACAGGGTTAATGGGCTCACCGCAGAAATCATATTAGGCAAAGCTACATTCAAACAGATGGCTAGCAAGTCACTTTCCTTCTTTGTGTTAAGAGGAGCGTTCGAATTGCGCAATGAATGCTCCTTCAGTCACCGAAACTTCAATTTAACTTCGTCATGACTTGAGAAACACGCACGTCATTTCTCCCACAAGCTCTTCTGCATGGGAACGAAAACGCTCATCACCGGCTTTCTTTATACGAATTTGAGGACTAGATTTGGCGGGAGCAGTTGAAATTTATGAATATGCTTAGTAGAGACGTAGTCATCGCAAACCGAGAACTTCAGTAAAATGAGATAATTTTGATATTACTATTGATATTATCTATTCATACCATTCTAAAGATTGTTTAGTTAATATTTAAAAGAAATCCGAAAAAGTATTTCTCACGCTCAAATGAACAGAGTAACGAATGCTCGAAGTAATTAACCTCAAACACACACGGCAAAGTTTGTAAAAACAAACACCTGAGGTCGCAAGACAAAAAAAAAATCTGATCTTCAGAGAATAAAATACCCGACCAGCAAAGAAGCTCGCTAACAATCAGTTCATCACAGCCCCGTTTCGTCTGCTTTACTACGGAATGTTCTCGGGTCTCTAGCCTTATGTTCTTGCAAGGAAATCATTAAAAAAACGACGTCAATTAAAAAATCATTAAGCGATAAGCATAACATGGTGCTGTCAGTCGAGAATCATTCGTTTTATATTGATCAGATAAGTAGCGGACAAGTCTGCAATTACAGCTAATTGCCGCGATATAATCCTACTTGGTGTCAGGGGTATCCGTGGCATAACCTAATAAGGAGTCCTTCAACGGTACTCTTGAGATCGAAATTTCGATGCTTAAGTCGAAGGTTCGAGGAAACAGTCCACTACTGAACTGAGTTAATAACAAGTAGTTTTTAATACATTGCTAGGAACAAATTAAATCAGAAAATAATTAGTTGAAGTTTGGCCGTAACACTCGATCGAGATTCACTGTAATCAATTAGCAAGTCAATAAACATTGCATATTTTTTGGTCTATTACGAGAAAAATGAGAAAATTAAAAAAATCCAAATTGGAAATTAGAGTTGTTTCTCGTGCGTGCAAAAATTTCTTAATCAGAAATTCACGCCTACAATGTAAGAACGTAAATGACAGTCTTTGGGTTGGAATACAGAGTGCGGAGTATATATACTTTCATTCAAGCAAAGAAATATACTCTTCCAAAAGTAATCGGAAAACCCGATCCAGCTTAGCTAAACCTACCAGGGAATGTCAGGAGCGTTAAAAAACTTGCACCCAGTAGTGTGGGTTCATTAACGTCGAGAAATAGCAAAATTCGTTTAATTAATATATGTTAGACAACCCTCGTCTAGGAAATCATCCTTCATAGCATCATTATTACCAACATGACCAGGATGTTTTTTAATCAATTTTTTAAATCATTGTTTAAAATTTTCTATTCATAACTTGTCATTAAATGATTCTTCAGCTTCTCAACCGTCCAACACAGATAAATGGAAAACTACGACCAAAAACACGCTAAGCGAATCGTTGCCAAATTGGCTCAACGGCGTTACTGGTACACGATAATTGGAGGACCAACACGTCTGAGCCACATCAACGAGCTATCAAAATTCGTGTAAAACGAACGACTTGCGAAACATCTCAAAACTCCTGAGGCTGATGAACCGAACGAGCGCTATGTGCTGCAGCACAACAGAGACGTTGAAAGCCGGTGTGGGAAGGAATTGACTATGCGCTAATTATAGCAGTGATGATCTGCTAGTAGGCGAGACTCAAGACCTTAGCAAAAGCATAAAATTTGTTAATTTCTTAAGACAACTCTTCCTAAGATGAGTTATTATGCAACAGGCTCGTAATGTTCAAGGTCTCAACACCTGCGAAAGTAATGTCAGAACAAGTCCCATTCAGCGATAACGCCATCACATTAATTGTTTAAAGTTTCTGGTTACCCAATAAGTTAAAGAATTCAACACGACTATCATTGAAGCGTGACTTACTGATTCGAATATATGGTACTGGCGGATAATTTATATTAAATTAGAGCGTTTTGGTGCGAGATAAAAAATTTTTTCATCAAACGTACAGAAAGTATAGATTTTGAACTAAATTGTTCTAAATCTTTGGCCTGATGGTTACTAGAAGTCATTTACTGAAATGGATTAGATTAGCCCTGCATTTAAGCCGACATAACCTAATATTGCCTTCAGGCCACACTTTCAAGACTCTAGGGACTAGCACTCAACTTCTCAAGCAATCAAGTGCGCGGTGTTAAGTTTAAAACTTATACAAGATTTAGATGCACATTCCAACTTACTCTCTGAACTCTGAAGTTAAAGGATGCATATTCAATAATTGCGTCGCCAATGGCCGCTCAACGACCTATCGTACGCCTACATACGTTCGATTCGACAACTTTTCTCAAATTTAAGAAGCTGGTTTTTTCTCAAGGAGGGGTACAGACAAAGCTCACATTCACTTAACATTAGAACGGTCTGGAGACTGGAAAGTGCCCTAAGGCCCGTGACAAATGATGACTACGAATTTTTCGATCAACGGGTTTGTGGAGAACATAAAATTTGAACTGCCTATGCATACGAATAATTTGATGAAAAGTGTGAAGAAAACAATATTAGGCACAAATTTCCCCAATTCGTTTCCAGGTTAATTGCTGACAGACGAGTTTCGTAGCAACTGTTACTTCTCGAAAAACGACTTCCTCTCCAGGAAAGAACGTCGTTCATCAATCGCTTTCACGGTGTTGAAAATAATTGACTCAAATTTGGTGATCAATTACCTCAAAGTAGTCCAAATCACGGACGAATATTAAATAAGCGATAACGTTGAAAATCTGTTTACTAATGAACTTTTAATTTAGAGATTTAGAGTACGTACATGCATGATGCATGAAACGCGAAAAAAATCAATTACTAAGTATTCAGTTAGCTAGCTTGTTCAAAAGTTTTAAATTAGAACTCATTCTGAAAAGAATAATTGCACACTTAGGTCTGATGATAATCAGGATAGAATTCAAGAGGGCAAAATATTAACAAATACTGATGTAATAATCTGAAAACAGTTTCTCATGTATATTAAGCAAGCTGAAAAATTCGAAATGATGAATGATACCTTCTCAAGAAATCGTCTGTCTGGCAAAGTACTGTAGTTGATAAAATGCCTAGTACATTCTTAGGAAGAAACGTTATCCGTCACCCATGTTGGTTGGAACTTTGGCACGAATAAATATCACCGCACGTCATTGATTAAACAAGCATCGTCAGCGCATTTGCAGGCAGTCACTGATATCTATGTCGTAAGCCAAGCCAAATTGGAATCAGTTCTCATTGCTCCGCAAGGAATAAATGTAAAGTTCACCAGTCATATTTGTACAAGATCGACGGAAGCTGTCTTTAGACCTAATTTTCAGGGCAATTATTGAATGATAACATAATTGTAGCTTAGAGGCTTCGAAGTTAGGTTTACAGATCAAGATTACAGCGCAACACGTTAGAGGAGTTGAAAGTTCAACTGAGAAGAATAATGAGAATTCATTGCGCGAGGGATCCGAGTTTACCTACACGCCCTGGGATAACATAGCCTTACCTGCCACCAGCAGCAGTCCTATCATGAAGAGGTCAAGTCGCGGAGCCATCTTTACACCACACGTCCTCACGCCTCTCATGCTTCTCGCAAACTGACCAACCGTTTGCGACTTTGCGCCCGTAATGACTTATGCCTTCCTAGTGAAGCAATTCTTTCCCTCGGAAATCGCAAATATATGTTCACTGAACTGAACGCATGGTTCTCGGCTTAATTCTGCATGACAGTGGAAAGTAAAAACACTTAAATACAGTGTAACAGAGCGCTGCAACGGAATTAACAGAAGACGAATAAGCATCGAAGTTCAAAGAGTTGGCCGCTTTCATTCTTTCTCTTTGCAACGCAAAATAATCAGACGCATGTTACCGAATTATCCTAATGTTAAATTTGTGTGCAAAAAAAGTACTACAATTCGGCAAAAATGTAGCGTTGTACATAACTCTGAATATTTCCTAATCATGGTGTACTGTCAGATTTTAATCCTGAAAAAAAAGACAAATCTGCGTTTATTACTAAGCTTAAAAAGTGGTACAAGTTTTCCTGCCAGTGTCCTCTTAATAAAAATAATCGAATGATATAAGCAATAGGAAAGTATTTCTAAAACAGGAATCATGACTTTGTATGTCTGCCGAGAACCTCATCTCTTTGTTTTGAAGTATAAAAATTTCGGACACGTGAAATACAATGCGGAAATACATCACCTGAGAGTGCGGCAGGAGTCATGACAAAGAAAGGTGATCGTCGTAGCAGGGCATGAAATGGACTTGGCATATCAAGTCTGGAAATTGGCCTCACTGACATTTGCCGATGCATGACTTCGACAAGTTTCTTTGTCGAGCTTAGCGACTAATTCCTGGTGACCGTGAAAACTGTCGGGCTTTTGTACTCGGTCCGTATATTTCAGATAAAAACATTCGAAGCAGAAACGTGAGACAAAGTTATAATGCGTATTATACTACTTGAAACTCGTTGATTGGTTTTTTCGACGGTCCTCAGCTCTGTAATTCAATTCAAAGTTTTAAGCAATTGAGAAGGGGAGTGCCAAAGCCGGAAATTTTCAAGGATGGTGGAAAAAAATTATGTTGACATGAGAGACATATAATGTGGAGTCGCCCTGCATGTATATAAGAGTGACACCCACTCCACGTAGCATTTCAAAATATTTGGCGTATTGGTGGATAATCCAAACAGCTTGTTCTAAGATTGTAGATACACTGTCTAAATAAAAGTTAGACTGAAGGCTTATGCAATTACCCTTATAAGGATACATTAATTTAAAAATTTTTAGTCATTATATTTTCAAATGCTCTAAGCAATGAATCCAGAACAACGAAAAACGAAGTCAGTCCATAGCATTAATTTCATGAACGGGCTACGTACGAGTACATATAGAAATCAAACAAAAGCTGGTAAGTGAAATATTATTGCGATTTTGTTTATAATTTTATGCGAATAGCTTATAAAAATTTTGAGACAGATTTGTAATGAAAGAATTTTTAAGACCGTGACAAAATAACCAAGTCGGTTGATAAATTTCAACGGTTACAAAATTTAAGGAAAAATCCTCGTGAATATTGCTCAATCAATGTTATTTATTTCCCAAAACGTCCTTTAATAGCGAAGTGACTTCTGGGTCTGGGAAAACGAGCTTCAGCAATCGTCCATTAAAATTGAAAGGGAAATATCTTAATTACGCGTAATGGACATGCGTGCTAAGAACTCCAATGATGGTCACGGCGATAAATTACTTTAATTTAGATGCCCTTGAATATCGCTGAGGATTAATGCGTTTCCGATCGACTGTTTATAGTGAAGCAGCTTAGCGTCAAAGCGTTATCATCTTAAATACATTTTAGCTAACTGAAAGATCAATAGCTTGATAGTCACTTATACTGTGTGGATATGAGGGAATATTTGAGGCAATGGGAAATTTTATCAGCAAAATCAAATTTTCGCCGAGACAGTATGGTATTGAATTTAAAATTTTGAGTTTATCCAAATACTGTCTCGAGAAGTAATAGGTAGCATTTGTTTAATAATTCGTATAAAGAATACGTTCATATATATTGATTTTAAAGCGAATGAATTTTCATTCATTTGGGTACGTTTCACTTATACGGAGTAGGCCCATTCTTCGTGACTTTCGTAAATTTAAAATATAAAAACATTTTGCCTTCGCAAAAGCAGTCATCGTGATCTGAGGTTAAAGTGTCAACGCATGATGTTAAATTGATGTACCTAAATATATTTACTCATATAATAATGCCTGTCTATCTTGCATAAAAAAATATCATCTATGCTACACTAATGTGCGGACTCGAGACAATCCCTCATATATAACGAAGTTATTTTATCTGATCGAGCAAGCAGGTGTACAAGTCAACGCGGAAGCATGAGAGGAGGGACACATTTAATGTGAATAATGTGTTAAAGTTTAGCGTGAATAATGTGTTAAAGTTTAGCGTGAATAATGTGTTAAAGTTTAGCGTGAATAATGTGTTCAGTCATTGATGACGTGAAGTCAATAATGAGTTTGTAGACATCACAAGGTCAATTGAAGTAACTTATTGTACCCTATAGTTTCTTCTAAGTATTTATTCAACTCCGCACTCACGCTATAAAATTCTCAGCGTATTTTCCCGCCATTAGGAATTCAACTATGAAGATTGTACTCCATACTGCATATACCCTTGAATCAAACAGCTTTTCCGCCATTATCTTTAAAAGGCTGCGTCGAGCATTCGAAGCTAAAACTAGACACGGATAAAAAGTTTCCTGTTTGTTTTCAGACGTCAAATAAACAAGGAAATGAACCTATCTTAGCTGCATTTTCCCGCTATCCATGCAGTCTAAGTTAGAATAATGTGTATAAGAAAAATTATTATTTGGGGGGAGGCTAAGAAATTGGTAACTATTTTGCATCATATCCAATTCAATTTAAAATTATGTTGAATCATAACAAGTGCTTCATCTCGACGCGCTATAAAATTTCAGCAACTTTGTCAGTCTCAAATTTGCTTTGTAATTAAATTTATGTATATATATATAATTCTAAATATAATAACAGCTTCACCACGCACGGATTTTCTCGGAAAATACGTAATGAACGTCAAAATAATTTGTAAAAAGATGTTTATATTGTTAAAGAAACATGAGCTCTATTTAGTTGAAATGTCTGTGTACCTCATTGAGGAAAATTCCAATTATTCTCGTAATTCTGGCGGTATATTCTGTGTCTGAGCAAAACTTTGCTTGCTCGCTGAACTGAGCCACCTTTGCATAAAATGGTTTTGCTTAATTAAGAAATCATGCAGTAATCTTCTTTAAGATTTTCTGCAGTCTTATACAAAAATTTAGTTTTGGTTTGTGTTAGAATGTGTGACAAAGTAACTTGAAATTGTAAACAACTTCTCAACAAACGATTTTGTTGAAAATAGAAAGATAATAATTTCGATTTTCTTTATCTATCAGTGTGCTTGTAAACGAATTTTTATTAAACCTTATAAATACGGCACACATTACATTGTCGAGTAGGTATGTTACTGATTGATTTTGCAAGTGAAATTTACCAATCAATAAATACAAGCACAAATAATCAAAATTAAAATATTTGAATAAAGTACAGACAACTTACTTATCATTGCAAAATAAGCCGTACAATTTTTTTCGAATCGATCATCTCGAAATGAAATTTCCTTTACTTGTAAGAACCATTTTCTTCCATCATTAAACCCATTCTTATTCAAATGATAGGCCCTTTATAGTTTATATCTCAGATTCACCGGTCATGCGACTCATAATGATGTCATCAAATGAATATGAGTTGATTACGGCGTGTTCTGGCAATGGCCAAGAATTCGCAAAAGGCATTCTGAGCAATAAATATTCATTCAATATTAATAATTCAATAGTAATATTGAATATTATTAGTCAATATTAATAATTCCACTGAGCAATTAATATTCATCATGGACAGCCTCTAACGGATATTCACGCTCAAAATATTGTAGTTAAATAAATAACAGGCGGCAAATAGTTTCTTATGCTCCCAGATTCATTACCGCACATAATTTTGTCGCATCGTAAGTCGAAGGCCCATTAATAAAGGGATTTCAGGTCATCCATTGTCACTGATCACATGCATCGACCGTTAAAATATAATCATTTCGTGAATGTTGATTTGTCATTTACGCGCAGAGCAATTATGCTCTTATTTCCATCAAAAAAGGTATCGCTTTATCGGTATTCGCTACAAAAGCTTGGAAAAATTTACTAACCCACATTTATAAAACGCCTGAGGATGCATGAAGTTTTGCGGTTGCATTGAATATCACGGAGTTGTGTTAGTACGAAAAATTTAACTTTTAAGCTTTGTTTAAAATAATTCGGTTACTGTCGGCAATTCAAAGGCAGAAAGCCTTCCGTCATTTAATTATACGTAGTTGTTACAGAAAAATTAGTGCATTATGGCTGAACACCTAAAAAAATTGTATTCAATGATACACTTCTGGACGTGGAATCGAAAACGATCGCGTGATTATAAGTATAATTATACTATAATTTAGGTCAGCTCATTGAGAATATTTATGATTAAACATCTAAGAGTCTTTTACGCGGTTATTAATCTATCCCAGAGAATGCTCTTACACCTATATTTTTTCAAACTTAATGTAGAGCTATTTCTCGAACCAACGGGGTAACCACATTACCACCAAGAAGAAGAAAAAATATAAACAGAAGAAAAAGTTGTAGCTGCGTAAGGTGATAGAAAAACTTTAGGGGAGAACATAGGGAAACTTCAGCATGCGATTTTTGTGGGCGCATGCGAGTGCAGCGCCCGTCCGTCCGGTGCTCGTTTGATCTTAGGTTGCGCAATTCCGTCACAACAGCGACTTTTATGCACCAAGTTCCGGGTGCTCTCGACTTCTTGCGGACCTGGAACCAATAATTTCCTAGCACTGAAATTGAGCTGAAATGCGGCGGATAGTGCAGCGGGACCAATAATGTTGCTGCGTTGGTGGAGGCAGGAGGAGTTTCTTGATTCCTATTACT